AAGGGTAACATTCTAAGTGTAATTGTCTTTAAGAAGACAATTTGGCAGCAAGGAAGTCCTTAATTTCATCATAAATCGGAAGAAAATGTAACAGGAAATTTGTCATTGATAATAGAGAAAAATCGAGTTTTAATTCTTATTTATTTCATCACGAATAGTTAGCAGAAAAGTTCTTATTGTATATGTTTAGCTTCTGTTATCAGCAAAAACAAGAAATGTGTAATAATATAAGGCTTGGAAAAGAAAATTATACTTTTGGCCAAGTGAGAAACTGATGCCCTGTTTAAAGGGAAATCACATTTTCTTGTTCTTCTTTAGTTAACCCTGATTAAATATGGGACTTAGGTTGTTTCCATGGTATGGTGTTTCTTTCCTCCAAAGACAACGGAAATCTATTCTAATTCTACAAGCTTCCATCTTTCTTTACTCTGCTTAGTTAGCACCAATCAACCTGCTTTTCATCTTTAATAATTTTTTTGGCATCTCATCATCACTTTGTCACTTTAGTAGGATTTCAAGATGAAACCCAGTGTTCAATACACTCTATTTATCCAGAAGCCACATATGATGTTTTCACTATCCAAAATTTTTCTTTTTTACTGTTAAGGTTTGGTTGATATTACAAAGGATCCGGACTTTAATGGAATCTATGATGAAGACATGAATGAAGATCCAACATATGATCCCAACAGCCCTGAAGAAAAAGCTGTTTTTATGAAATATGCTGAAAATATTATGCTAAAATTGACATTCAGTACCATACAAGTTCAACAGTGTGAAAATGTTTTTATATTTGAAACAGCCTATTGGCTTACTAATGCTATAAAATGTAATCAGGATTATCTTGATATTTGTACCTATCAGAGACTACAGCAAAGATTATATCTTCAGAAAAAGGTTATTCAAAAACACTTTGAGAAGAAAACAGACCTCAGAAAAGGGATAGGATACCTAAAGTTAATATGTTTTCTGACTCCATTTCTACTGAGTTTGAAAAAGAAGATGAAAGTTCCATATTTAGATAGTCTGCTTCCACTTTTTTCAGGTAAAAGTATCACCACAGATCAAATATAAAATAATTATATGTATATATATA